CAGAGGGGGGATCGCCCCATGGACCATGAGGCCGGGGGTCCCAGGGGGCTGGCTGGGGCTGGGGCATGGGTACCGGATGGTACCTGAGCTGTGCCGGGGTGCCCAGGCTGCCCCATCCCTGACATGGCTTTTTATTGTAATTGAGCGGAGCGGCTCCAGTTTTGGCCTCAAGTTTCCTGTGTTGGCATTGGTATGATGGCAAGAGGGAGAAATAGAGTTGCAAGCCCAGGGTGAAGCATAGCCCTGCCTCCGCGGGGACGATTGGGTCCCTGCGCATCCTCCTCCTCCTCCTCCTCTCGCTGCCGAGCCTCGCCAGCAGCACTTCGCTTTGTACCATCCTGCTTTTCTGTGGAAACACTGGAGCTAGAAACAACGTTTTCTTTTCTTCCAAAGAAAGCTGGGATTGTGCGGGGTCCCCTGCCTCCAGCACCTGGGGGTCCCTGGGCCCAGCCCCGGCAGCACCAAGCCCCGCTGCCCAGGGGAGCGGCTGAAGCTGCCGAAAATCAGCCTTTGGCACCGAAGTGGCCGGCACGGTCTTCCCCATCAGGACTTCAGCCCAGGTGGAGAGCGGCTTTTCTTTGAACCAGTGCCGCGGGGATGGCAGCTGGCCGGCCGCGGTGATGGCAGCTGGCTGGGGACAAGGCTGGCTTTGTGTGGCCGGGCCGGAAGGTGCCGGCCGTGGCTGGGCTGCGGGTGTGGGGATTTAACCCTCTTTCCGCTGCTGCATGCTGGGGTTGTCTGCCTCCATTGCTGATCCTCACCAGCTCAAATCCAGCCTGCCACGCACCTCGCCGCCCAGGCCAGCCTACCAGCAGCCCGGGACACTTTGCACGTCACAGGGACCCCATCGAGGTTTGCACATCGCAGGGTCCCTGGGGCAATTTGCACATGGTTGGGAGCCTGCAGGTCCCATCACCTGGCCTGGCCCTTTGTTTCGGAACTGGGTGAAGGCAGAAGCTGCTGCCCTGGGTCCAGTCCATCGCATCAGACCAAAAGTAATGGGGGCCGAGAGCCACGAAGGAGCTGCGGGAGGATCTCCCTCAGCTTTGGGGACAGGCAGTGCAGCCATGCGGTTGACAGCAGCTGCTGGCGTCAGCTGAAGGGGCAGGACGAGGTGGCAGGGGGGACAAGCGGTGCGTCCCTGGGTCAGCAGAGGGGACAGCGAGGCAGTGCTGGCGGAAAGGGCACCTTCGCCGCAAGCGGGAGGAACGGTGTGGGAGACCTCCCGGCAGGGGTCCTGGCGGAGGCAGCTTTTCCTGGCACGGCCCCAGGCAGGACAATACCCGGTCAGGCAGCGGAAGGGAGCTGCCGGCCGCTTCCCCCGAGGAAACGCACCCGCTGGCTCTGTCTCCTGTTGCTCTCCCTCTTCCTCCTGTTTGATTTACAGTGTGCACGGAGCCTGGCGGGGAGTCTGTCCTGGCCCCAGTGCTGTTTAATTACCTGCAGTGAAGGCCGTGCAGAGGAGGAAGCCGGCTGCTTCCCAGGGCGGGAGGGATTAGACGAGGTGGGGGATGCGCAGACACTTTTAGGCATGAAGCTGGCAGCACAGGAATGGTGGGGTGCCAGCAGGGAGCTGGGATGTTCCCAAGGGAGGTGGAAGGGGTGCTGACACAGAGCCAGGATGTTCCCAAGGGAGGTGGAAGATGGGATGTGCATCGGCTGCAGATGGGTTGGCAGAGGAGTGGGAAAGCCCTGGGATCCGGCCCAGTGACTGATGGGAAGCGACTCATCCCTGCCCGGTTGGATTCAACCCCTCGACCCCATGCGCTGGGGCTGGTGGTGGGAGGCTGCCACATCACCTGGGTGACCAGCCTGAGCCTGGCCTGGTGCTGCCTGCCTCACAGCTGCTCCTCCAGCTTCTGGCAGTCGCGTGGTCAGGGCGAGCCACAGGCTGGCAACCGCAGTGGCATGGCTGGGGCTGGGGAGCAGCAGGGGCAGCATCATCGTGGGCAGCGGGTGCGAGCCAGGGGCCAGTGCATCATCCCCAAGCTGGGCCGTGTGATGCGGGTGGCCACAGCATCTCTGCTAGAAAAGTCTGGATCCTCCGGTCGTCATGGGCAGGGGATTTGGGGATGGATGCAGGTGTTTCTCTGCAGCCAAGGCCAGATCCTGCGCCCCTCTCTGGGCAGTGCTGAGCCCTGGCTTCCCTTAGGGCTGTGTCTGAGCTGCCTTTCCTCTGCGGCACGCCTCCTCCCCTGCTTTCTTCCGAAAATAACCCAGTGCCAAATGCTTTGCCCACTGACAGCTGCACAGCCCCACGGCCACCCGCGCCCCGTGGGCAGGGCCACCATGTCCCTGCCATGCAGGGACCCCACAGGTCCCTGGAGGGTGACGCTGTGCGCAGCGGCAGTGGGTGCTCCCAGGGTGCTGTTTGCCCCCATTGTGCTCCTGCCAGGAGCACTTCCCACCTGGTCCCTGGCACCCAGATGCTGCCAGATGTTGCGGCAGGTCCCAGCTGAACGCTCACAGCTGGCGGCCCCCCCAGCTCACCCATGGACCACAGCCCCCACGTGCTCTCCTCCAGTGCACTTGTGCCTGGCTCCTGGGAAAACCAGGCTCCCATTTCATTCCCCCCCTGCCTTCCGCCTTGCTTTTTCTTGCTTTTTGGCCGGGGAAAAGCAGCCAGGTCCCTCCTGGGTGTCACTGGCCCTGGAGACACCCCCGAGGCGGGGGTGGGCAGCACAGGGCACCCCAGTCCCGCTCAGCCTGGCCGGTGAGGATGCACATCACACCCAGCGACCGACGGGTGCTGGCAGCTGCCTGCAGTCACGTGGCTTTGCAAAAGCGTCGATTCCCTTTATCCAAAGCAAACTTCGCTGAGAATTGCACCTGTAAAGGCTGCAGCCTCTTTTTTTTTTTTTTTCCATCCCATTCTCCCAGTGCAGCCGAGCTCTGACTCATGACTCTGCACCCTTGGAGCTGGCAGCGCGACCGCCGTGGCTGTCCCAGCCTGGGCTGCAAAGCATTCCTTAAATATATAAACAATCCCCAGCCCCGCAGGCAGTGCCGCGCTCACCCGGCAGCAGGCTCGAGCTTCCCAGGGCTGGAGGGAGGCGAGGGGGGCCCGGCGGATGGCAGGGGGTGGTCGCAAAGTGCTCCCCGGGTGGGGGGCAGTGGTTTGCGGCCACATGGGGCTCACTGGCCCCCAGTTTGCAGGGTTTCACTGGACGTGGCCCTGTTGTTGTTGCAGGTTGATGGTCCCCTGGTCAGCGGCATCCTGGGGAGAAGATGGCTCAGCCTGCACCCCTGAACCAGAACCTCCCAGGTAAAGGAACTGGGGTCGTCACTGGGCAGGGACAGCAGAAGGAGCGTGAGGAGCGTGGCAGGGCTGAACTGTCCCGTCCCGTCCTGATGGGTTTCCTCACCCCAGCACCGACCCCAGCACAGAGTGGGTGCCCTGTGACACCCGATGGCATTGAGGGTGCTGGGGACGGGCCATCCGCTCGGCTCACTGCCAGCAGCATCATGGCGGGGAGGGAGGCTGCAGGCTGCAAATCCCAGTATAACCCAGTTGGAAAAGCCTTCCTGTCTCCACCAGGTCCCTGCCTAACCATCCCTGCTCCTCTTACAGATCTCGGGGGCCCATTCTTGTACCGGGACCAGGACAATGGGGAGAAGAGCTCGTATTCAGTGGAAACCCCCTATGGCTTCCTCCTGGACCTGGATTTCCTGAAATACGTCGATGACATCGAAAGCGGCCAAACACTCAAGAAGGTGCCACTGCCTCGCAAGGCAAAAGGGGCCCGGCAGCCGCCCAGGGCCCTGCGCAGCCCCAGCAGCCACGCCCGTGCCT